CGCGAACGGTCGCAAAGTGACTGCTTTGGCTAGTCGCTTCCTGACCGATTTTTCAGTCACCCGACTGCAGTCGCAAAGCTGCTTGAACCAATCAGTTATGCTCAATTTTTTGAGTTTTTTTGTTTTTTCAACGCTGTGCGAGAACGCACGAAAACAATAAATGCGGCACGCTCGGTTCGCTCCGTTCACTCATTGATTGATTTGTGGGGTTTAACGTCCCAAAACCACCATTTGATTATGAGAGACGCCGTAGTGGAGGGCTCCGGAAATTTTGACTACCTGGGGTTCTTTAACGTGCACCCAAATCTGAGTACACGGGCCTACAACATTTCCGCCTCCATCAGAAATGCAGCCGCCGCAGCCGGGAATCGAACCCGCGACCTGCGGGTCAGAAGCCGAGTACCTTAGCCACTAGACCACCGCGGCGGGGCGCTCCGTTCACTCAGCTGGTGGCGATTAGCTGATCGGCGCTGGTCTCCAGAGTTCTCGCTGATAACGGCACGCTGACGTGACTACAGTTTTGAAACTTCCGGTCGCTCACTTGCAGCCTCTGCCAGTGTGGACATAGTCACTTTTAGTCGCCAGTCGCGAATGTTCGCGTAACCACTGCAAGTCGCCGGCGGGCACCTGCATTAACGCACCGGGTGCGCCGCAACTAACCGAGTGTGTGAAAACTAACGCGCTTGATGGGTTACTTTTGGTTTCTCTGCCACTGCGGTCTTGAAATCCAGCGATGGATCTCTGAAACCACGCGTAAAATTTTAAATTTTTAAAAACAGGCCTCACCATAATTGGGGACGTAGAACAACTTCACCATATATACACCAACCCTAAAATTCATGATAAAAAGGTATTTCAAATATTTTTATTGTATATTATCCTTTGTAAGTTCTATATTTGTGGCGAAATCTTTCCACCGTAGGCAGAAATGGGCTGTGAAGACAATAAGTGCCTACCCATTATAAAGTAAGGGTAAATTTGTATCGCTTAAAAGGCACAGGGCTGTATATATTCAACGAAAAATTTAACACGAGCTGTTCTCTACGGCATGGCAGGAGGGGATTGAAGTTGCGATGGTTTTCTCCTTATTGAATCATACTTGTGAAGCGCAGTGTTCTAAAATTCCTGTTGCTACCCGGAAATTTGAGGTGCATAAATGCATCATAGACGAGCGAGTAAAGTTGAGTGCGTGTTGAGTAAGGAAGCACAGCCGTTTGTTGACCATTTTGCACGCGTGATCAACCTTGACTGTCACTAGTGACTGTACCCTGTGACAGTGGTATATATGGTGAGTAATACTTATACTAGGATAGGATTTTGAGGGACACTATAGTGGAGGGCGCTGGAAAATTGGACCATCTGGCATTCTTCTACGTGCTCATAAACCTATGAAGTACATGGGCCTCTATCATTTCATCATCATAAAAATGCGACTGCCACGCCCGGCATTCAATCAAGTGGCGTTCGGTTCAGAAGTAGAGCACTATAACCTCGAGACCCTTGCATCGAGCGCCGTTAAAAGTTGAAATCTCGTTCAGTGGTACGTAAGCAATTTAGAACAATAGTGACAGGAATATGAAAGGAAGATGGCAGAGATATGCAAAATCGTTATATTTGAAGCTTAACACGCGTGTATATAGCACGCATAACTGAAATCAAAGTGCATGATTAGACGACTTCCGGCATTAGGAGTTGAACCTACAGGTCCTACATTATGTCCGTGCCGCTTGAACGACGGAAACGTTCTTGAGCTTTTGCCTGAATATCATCCATGGGAGTTAACTAGTAACTTCGCGTCATCGCTACGCAAGTCGCTTCCCTTTCAACCATGTTTTTTATCCTGGCTTCAGTTTTATTTGCTTAATGGTAAGAAATGGAACTGGACCGCGAGCCTTTGCACTGCATGCAAGTCGTTCGTGAAAAGCCCATGTTCATTCACCACTGCTGCTTTGCGAAGACCAGAAAAATTTTTGGAATATGAATCACTGAATCAGTATGCGTATTGTGAAAATTTGACTATAGCTTTGCCAGAATAAAGAAAGAGGCAATGTTGAGCATTTTAATCATATCTAACTACGGAAACATCCCCATGAATTGATATACCGTTTACGCACAACATATTCGTCTTATAGTGTTATTCCGGGTGAGGGGGGGGGGGATAAGGATTAATTTTTTTTTCTTTCCAGACACTGTGGGAATTGAGGCTAGCCCGCCGCCTTTGCGCGGACTTTGCCGCCTCTTTCTGTCGTTCTCATGATAAGTCTCCTCCGCGGTCTGCCACGCTGGGGGACAGGGGAGTGACTTAAGCCCTCTCACACTGTAGAGGATGTCGACTTTGGCACCGTGTGCGGAATATTTTGGGGCGTTTCGTGTGCGCACGTCGGGAGCGAGAGAGAACCTCTCCGGGACAACATGGAATAAGCACGCATTTCTTTCCCGTCTGTCGGCTCCCTTTGTTTGGGGCTCGTTCGGCGCCTTGACCCCACAGCGAACGCTTACTTTTTGTCGCCCCTTCTGAACGCTAGGCTGAAGAACGGTGCGGTGTCCTAGTGCGTGATCACACTAGGCCGACCCGTACCTCTCGGAAGCCAACGCGAGCGGAGTTTTTGCATCGCTCATAATGAATAGACTCTAAACGAAAAGCTCCCCATAGGGTTCATGCATTAAAACCCATAACCACTCGGGTGCCGCCATGATGGAACGATACTCGGCTTTCAGGTGACGTTCACTCGCAGTCACCACTGCATGCTGCAATTACACCCGGAATTTTATCTGTTTCGTGAATTTCTGTTATATCGCATTAGGAGATTGCCACATGAAGTCGAGTTTTTGGCTCCTGGAAACAACAACAACAGGAAAAAAACCAACAACACGGACGCTGATTCACCCGGCACGTAAGCAAGTCGGCGCAATTAGCCGCCCGCCGCATCACCACGCTCTCAACGCTACAAGAATAGGGGTGCCATCTATTGAAGAAACCTGCGAACGCGTCTCTTCGTGCTCAGTAAATTGGATAAATGGTCATTGTATCTTTCTTAAAAGTAATTGAGATAAATTTTATACAATTTTAGTTTATTTATAAAACGTGAACGTGCTTGTTTTCGATTTGTACTTCAAAAATTTGAGTTTTAAGCGTTTAAATTTAGCGCTTTTCTATAGTATTGTGGTGACAATAATGCCTACGTTATAAGAAGTCAATGCTTTTGTGCTTACAGCTTTTCAGGCCTAGCTTTTCCTCTAGAGTCAGTATATTACCTCTGTTTGCTCACTCAAGTGAACGGGCCCTTTGTCCTGGCGTCACTGTGAATCACTTTTGCTCATGGAGACGTGCTCGCTACACCCTGTGCAGTACTTCTCGCCCGGGGCGTGAATAAGCCCATTTGCTTTCCCGCCAGCCCTTTTGAAAGTGCTCTGTACTACGTTTTTGATGTTGCCGCAGGCAGTAAAGTGTTGCGAACTTGAGCAGTACCATGTTCTTGCCACGCTGCTCTCGGCGCCATCGCTGTCCGAACACGCGTGTGCAGAGGCGACGGTTAACGCGTGCCATGCGGCTCGCTAAAATCGGACTCACGCTAGTGGACATAATTCTTCGGGATACGGCTACACTACACTGGCGCCAAACGTGGGGCTCAAGTGACCGAGCCCTTTGTCCTGGTGTTACCAGGAAGCACTTTTGCCCACGGAGACGTGCGCGCGGCACCCTGTGTAGTACGTCTCGCCCGGGGCGTGAATAAGCCCATTTGCTTTCCTGCCACCCCTGTTGCAACGGGCTCTGTATTGCGTTTTTTTGTTTTTGTTTTGCCGCATGCAATACAGAGTTGCGACCTTGAGCAGTACCGTGTTTCTGCCACGCTGCGCTCGGAGCCATGACTGTCCGAACACACGTGTGCCGAGGAGACTTAACACATGCCCTGCGGCTCGCTAAGACCGGACTATGCTAGTGGCCGTAATCTTTCGGGATACGGCTACACTACAACACTAGTTGAGCCTAAGAAACTAAGTGGTGACCAGACAGTGGGATGTAAGACACTGGATTTCTAGGACAGCTTTCGATTGACTATGACGTGATACCTGTATTCTTATAGGCGGTCACACGACATTTTACAGTGATACAGTGCGCTACATGCGAATGCTGTATACACACGTACAGTCTTTTCCGGGCGGCTTGTAAGTGCTTGCCCCGCAAAGTTAGCGCATGGTACTGACGACACATTTAGTATTCGACGCGGTTGGAGTGTCTTATGTCAACAGCCAAAGTATGTGTGCGTGGTTAGTTTGAAAATCCAATGTACGTGATAGTAATAGGGCTATTAATTCAAGGGCGAACCTCAAAAAAGTGACTTATTCGGCGACTCGAAACTCAGACACAAAAGTGTGGCTCATATACGTAAAAAATATTTGACTTGTTTTAATTTGCAGTAAGAATGGCAAGTTGAGTTGAATTAGAGTATGACGCCATGCTGTGCATAATAAAGAGCAGCCAACAATCTGCAGCATAGACATTCACATCGCCTTTTACAGGCCACTTATGATCGCGAATTTGGGATGCCAGTTTATACTTTTTGACGCTCCAGGCAAACAATTTTGGTTGCTACCAGAGCGCTTTTTCCGGAGGACTTGTTCCACGCTTATAATATAATGTTGCAGCGCACACCTTCGATAAGCTATAACAACTTGACATGTAGGTATGCTATATGTGCTGCATGACCTCCTACATAAATACTTGTGCCAATTACAACTCTTCAACGAGGTTAATAGCACAATACTATCTCCTAACATAATGAACAGCCTTTTTGTAAAGTTTCAGTGAGCAAGATGCTTGGAGAACCACATCTAAAGTAGCCGAACAGAGCCAAATACCATGTTGTCAGCCTATGTCGACTGCACTACTGCTGCCGAGAATGTATATCATTGAAAATGCAAATCTTCATCCTATGTCAAGATCATCGCTGTTTTGAAAATGTCTAGCAACGCCAGATAACGCTGTATTGGAGACGAACCTTTTGGTAAACAGGCGTGGAGGACGTAAGAGGCCATGGTGGATACCATAAATACGATAGTTGAGCACTTTCGGGGAAGGTACCACAGGATGAACAGGCACGCAACTCCGCTCACCACCTCGATGGACCCACCGATGAGGAAGTTGTAGTACGGATTTATCGGCAGCAGCCCTGTGTCAAGTGCCAGTTGGTACCGTACAAGAGCTGTGCACAACCTGCGAGAATCGGAGAACATCGTGATTGCCAAAGCGGACTGCCGTAGGAAGAGCTTTGCGTGACGCTGCCATTAATTCCAGTTAAGTTGGGAAGGTGCTATCCTCTTGAACCGATCAGACCCGTGTGGGCGGGCTGATGTAATTGGCTTTCACCTACACATGAAATACGGTGCGCACAGACAGCCGACGCTTTCGTGTAGTAAGGTTGAGGGCAGGACGCGATGGAAGTGCAAGTTCACCACAATAAATAAACTGACACATAGAAAAATTGAAGAGACGAGAAAATTGTCATCATTTTTGGAAAGTAACTACTACTATACTACTATTGCCATTTTGGGGAATTACGCCCGAAACGGTACTTCTTCCAGGAGTACCTTCTGTTTTTAAAATACTCCTCAGTGGGGTATGCTTCCTCTTCACGGTGACCTCAAATGAACATTTAAACTCAACAGCCATTCATACGGTAATTTGGAAAAACGGCCGGAAAGTATAGTTCAAGCTCTACACCTCTTGATCTGGAGTGTTATGCTTTAACGATTACACCACGGCCGCTAGGTGGCTGAGGCATTGATTGAATGATATGTGGGGTTTAACGTCCCAAAACCACCATTTGATTATGAGAGACGCCGTAGTGGAGGGCTCCGGATATAGGTGGCTGAGGCAGTGCAGAGGAAGAATATTGGGCAGCGATGCAGTACTATATCTAAGCATTATTTCACTTCTTCCTACATAGGGAGAGTCGTGCGTTAATTCCATTAGCAGCCATATATCGTACGCCTATGAAACGAGAAATGTCAAATCTTTAGCATGATTAAGCATGGGACAGTCGTACATGTGTAGCACAAGCAACAGAACGCACTAAATTTGTGCGCCAACTTTGTACGACGCGTTGCTTAGTTCAATACCCACCTACTTCTATCCGTTTCTAGACCAACTTATGTTCCAAGAAATGTCTGTGTATGAGGAGAGCATTGCGCTACTGAGAGTGCATCTTTGATTTCCGGCCATGGTGACCACATTTAGGCGGGGCTAAGCGTGTAAACATGGATTTAGGCCCCATGGTCAGGTAGGCTACAGCGTTTCATACTTGGCACGTGAAATCGCAGAATAGTGGCTCTGGTGAGTACAAATGGTTAGCCTATGTTCGCGTATTGTCTACACTAACAACAATAAGGTTGCCTGCTTTCTTTTTTCGACTCCTGACATTTCCATGTATACAACTGAAGATGTTAACTCTCGGAGACTCGCACTTTCCACTATAGTCCAAAGAACTCACATTATCCTTTACATCAAAATATTTTCGAATACGACAGTGTTTTTAACGACAATGTGCTGTAAACTTTACAGCTTCATGAAACAAAAATATCCGGGATTCTTCATATATTGAACATGGGGCTATGCCAAACACCCCAGGAAGTTGGCTTTCTCACAAATATTTTCGTCACGTAAGGGGGCTTTGCCGCACGCTTTGAAAGAAAGGAGTGATTAGAAAGGTGGCGCCATGCAGCGCTAGTAGAAACACGCTCGCCGTCGTGTTTCTCCCATGATTACTTGTCGCGGCAGTCTTGCGGGGTCGCCGTTCATCAACGCAACGGCTGCCGCTAAAGGGGAGTATCTGGCTGTTCCCCCCGCACAGCTGGTGATAAATTCACAGTCGAATATCGAGAAAATGAGTGACATCGCCGCTGCTTACAGCATACAAAGAAGCACAAAGAGTGTCATACTGAAAAAAATTGGGGCTGCCTCACACAAGGGGTGTCTTGCGTGAAGAAACAAGTCAGCTTTGTTTTTTTTTTTTTGCTCCTCTTTGTTTAGCACTAGTTTTCTTATGCCGGGGTCAACCACGGCTCTGCTGCCCAGGGTTGCCACTGACTTTTGAGGAAATTTTTTAAGCTACGAGTGAAAAGTTTTCTAAATTCGCCAAAAAATTTTCCACTCTACTTGTGTGGTGTGCCTAGTAATAAAAATTGCTAATTATGTACAACAGCGTGAAGAAAAATACGGTCCGTAGTCACTTAATTATATTGGCCTCTTAATTTTTTCATTATATATTTGCTCTGACCCATCACTGCCCACGGCTACGTTTTTGAAATCGTGGTATGCATTCCGGCACTCCAATAACCATATTCTGTCTTTCAAATACATGACCTGGCCCAGTCTTCTAATGCTATAGAAATTCAAATATGAGCTTTATTAACAAACAGAATATTCATTAACATGTTTCTGCTTTTTCTTTCGTTGCTCTAAAATGACTCTAGCCGCGCCAAGCACTCATCCACAAACTTGTACATAGCAAAGTATAAGCACTCCAAACATGGCTCAAGCGAACCACGGCAGTAATTTTTTTCCCGAATACTAGCGGTGAATAGCAATAATAATGATTTATTCTACCCTCCAACTATTGTTATTTAAAATGTAGGAAATGCATTTCAATAGCACTGCCATTTTACACCCTGTATTTTGCTTTTTGTGCATGAATTAAACTGACTGGCGCTTGAATTAAAATCATTGACGATTGGGTTAAACACGGTAGCACTTGGATTAAACTCACTGGCACGCGGCCTCATTGAGTTGGCGCTTGGATTAAATATGTTGGCGCTTGGATTAACTGTTTGGCACATCCATTAAATAGCTCGGCGCTCATATTACTTCAATGACACACCGACTATTTAGACTGGCACTTGGAGTAAAATGAGCGGGAAAATTTGTAGATGCCTTCCGCAAGGGTCAGTGTTTCCCCCTTTAATATTTAATATTTTACCATGCACGATTCTCATCGTGCAAGTTTATATGTATGCCGATTATATAGCGTTGTTCGCTACAACAGTAGATATACATACCCTTTATCAAAGTCTGCAGATGTATATGAAGGCTCTAGAAACGTGGTTAGAAAATGTAAACGTAACGGTGAATATCAGAAAAAGCGCAATTGTACTCTTACCTTTCTTGCTTTATCGGTAAAAAGTTATCCCGCAGGTGGAATTTTAATTATTTAGGGGTTACTTATACTAATAAAGTTCACAAAATGAAGCGCATTCAGTAACAACGTTAGTCTATTTTTTCTTTTTTTTCTTGTGAATTATTTTATTTTATAAAGTGATTTCAAAACAAATTTTACTTAGATTTGAATCTTATGAACAAATTCTTTTATATAGCGAGGCATCGCTCGTTTCATGGCTGATCATCCATGGTCGATTGCGCCACAATAAAAGTGACAATCAATCAATCAATCACTTAATCAATCAATCAATCAATCAATCAATCAACCAGTTTTTACATTAGTGGAGCAGTAACTTTCTTCCCTACGTGCTTCGCCCCACTGTTTTTTCTTTTTCTTTAAAAAAATAATTACCCTTTTGTGGGTTTATGGACAATACCGATCTTATCTATCTCGACTCTAAAAAACAACTCGACTAGCTATCTTGGTTCATTCTGCCCTTGCTCTTTCCAACAAAACCTTATACGCCGCACAAAATTCGCATACAATGAAAATTGCTACACTTGATCCCTTGTGGAATGAAAGCGCCTGTTAAAAAAACGTGTAGTTGATATAGTCTTCTTAAATTGGTTTAATAGACTCAGGTAAAGCTGTCCGGTTGTATGAAAGTTCTAAACAGCGAACTGCTTTGTTTTCGATTACTCCCAAAGAACGAAATCCCGAAAGAGCAACCTATCGAGACAATTGAAGTGCCCATTAATTTTCAATCACTTTCGCTAGAATACGAAAGAGGGTAAGCTTGCGCCTGCCCACCATTTTTTTTTTTTTCACGATCGCTCCTGTCTGATAATCGTGTAACATGGTGTTTCCATGATTGTTTTCTATAACATTCACTCCTTATAGATTCAGGACGTTCACTGCACATGCGGCAAGAATTATTTTTGAGGCTGAGAACCACACGTGCAACTTACGCTTGCTGATTAAAGGGACAGTTTTAGAAGGAGATCACGTTCTGTAGAATTTTACTTAAGAAGTTTCGAAATACCAGACGCGACGCCACTTGAATGGATCTGATGGCAATAGAGCAGTATGACAAATGAATTACGTCAACGTTATGAGCCCTCACGTGCACACCTGACGCGATTAAGCCCGCATGTGAAAGAACATGTGTGTTCAACGTACTTACTGAAATATGGCGTTGGTCGCTGTAAAATTTATCATTGTTCTTGAAGTGAACAGGGCTTTGATTCCAGCCCAGCCTTTCGCTTCCCGATTCCTGTGTTGCTGTATAGAAATTGTACATACACATCTGAATGAGCGTGAACCGTTACAGTATTCTTGCATTCAGAACTTCACACTACTTCTACAGCAACGTAACCCTATTCTGTCCACAAGAAAATAGACCATTTTGGGGTACCTTGATGAACTGTGCGGCCACAAAAATGATTCATACACTGTTGAATTGTACGAACTTGTATAACAAAGAATTCGCATTTCAATGGTAATAAATTTAAAGCAAGCCTTAGTAAACAATTCAACAGCAATATATATATATATATATATATATATATATATATATATATATATATATTGATGAAAAACTAGAACAGTAAATACCTAAGTGAGGTTTTTAACCAACTGGACAGACAAGAATTTACAAATATATTTTTGACCGAAAATTTCATATCCACTGTTACAGTAAATATACGCGTTGTATCTGCAGCTTGTGTTCAGAAAGAAAACGTTAACCCTATAGCGGTTTTGCTGCCACCACGCAATAAAGCTACATAATGCGGTGAAGCACAGGTTTGTGCAGCGTGTTTCGCAAAAAACAGTTTTCTTGCTCACTTTTCACTGAAGTATGTTCTGATGCATATTTATTTTTTTACCCCTAGGAGATTTTCGATATAGGTATTAGCATAAAAAATGATGGCTCCGACGAAACGCCCCACGGCACTACGTAGCACATTGCCCGAGGTTCCTTGCGGGTCGTCGTCTTATGCTAAACTCCATTCGTCGAGCAGCCTGCGGCAAGTGATGCCGCCCAAACAACGTTGACACCCTGCTGATAAAAACTGCAGCTTTAGAACACATCGGATATTTTTTAGAGTGAAGCATGGCAACAACCACTAAATTGGCAGATGAAAGCGAGTTACCACGGTGGATACCTATAGATGTCCCGCGACTCTTTCACGTTATGTGCTTTAATCTGATCAGTCGAAACCACTTTCGAGTCTCCGCTGCTGACATCATAAAAAATTTGAATCAAACTCGTGGGCCGTCCAGCGGGCCGAGGCCGCCGCTAGAGCTCAAGGGCTCGTGGCCGACACGTATAGTCGGGGATATCTGCTAGATCCCTGAGCATCTCGTTGGATTTTTTATTAATAAAGTCGCGTCTCTGTCTCAAACTCGTCGGAATATTCCAACATTTGTCGTCGCTTTGAGGTACGTGCGCGTGATGTCGATGCCATCTTTAAAGCTACGAGCACCCGGCCCTCTCGACTTTATAGGCGCTTCAAAACTTTGTTTGTGGCGGGAAAAGTGGGCGAAAACCTACGAAACAGCTTTTTTATACGTTGGAGGACATCGGTTGAACGTAATCACTCCTCACGCGGCAAAACTTCATTTCCAAACACATCGATAGCTGGCTATTGATAAATATAGCGCGTACAGGGAAGTTAACATATTGTAAAAGTTTAATGCTTTCGCGTCATCTACATTTTTGCTTGGGGTTATGTTCTCAATAAAAGAATGAGCCTTTTTATATAACGCCGAGACTTAAAAGAGCCTCCAGCTTTACGTGTAAGTCAATCCTCTTACTGTCACTTAGAGTGATTCAACTTGCTTCCAAAATCACATTTCCCCATTTGTGTCGGCATTTCACTTGCGGCGATTCTGAATCTATAGGTGTCATCGTTAAAAAAAGTCAGTCTTCATAATGATTGGTCCTGATGTCCCCGGAACTCGTAGACTCTGCACATCTTATAAAACATTGTAAAACGTGTTTTTATTTATCATTCGCATATAAGTTCGTGTTGTACGTAATTGAACATTTATCAAGTATAAAATTCGTTGAAGTTATTTCACTTGAATTGCAAACCCCAATAAGCAACTTTTGTATAATGCTGTCACATTATAACGAGTCTCCTAGTTGTTGATATTGTTTATGTAGAAATATTGCTTAATGGGCACGAAATTTAAACCTTTTCGAATCGAGGAACAAGAAGAAAAAATGAACACCATTTTACCCGATGTGTCATTAATACCAGTTCGTGTGCGTCACGCTTATTAGTGTTAATGTGAGAGGTATTAAACTAAAAAAAGGAAAATAAAATAGAACATGCTGTAGAATAAAATAGCCTAATGCAAGTCTAACAAGAAAGACACGCGTTTTACAGCTATAACTTTCGAACACACTGCTAGGGAATACGTATGAATCGGTGTCGACACGCAATGCCCGGGACAGCATATGCGAAACATGGTGAACAGAGCATGTAACCAGACGAGAAGTATACGAAAACTGCGGCTGCGCGACAACACTGGATGCCATCTGGCAGTTGCGTCGGGAATCATGAGCTTGTGAATAACTCTGAATAACTGGCAGGTGGCAGCACCATATATTATCGGCAGAGGGCTTTTTCAAACATAGCGTCGCGTTTTCAGCGCAGCCTAAGAAATACAAGGGTCTTTAAAATTGCGCATCGACGTACTTTATAGTAAAAAACTCACAACTTAATATTTAGCTATTGATGTGGTACCTCAGATATGCGTAATATTTGCCTTTTGATCGACAATGTTACCAAGTATGTACGCAGACACCAAGGTGGCTGGGCGATCAGCGAGTGCTTAAACTTTGAACTATGATCAGGGGGCTGAACCGTGTGACAGACAGACAGACAGACAGACAGACAGACAGACAGACAGACAGACAGACAGACAGACAGACAGACAGACAGACAGACAGACAGACAAAAATGCATGCGTTCAGGTATTGTAAGAAAGACTATAGTCTTTAAAAACGTAACAAAAAAATTTTAAACCTAGGTGATTAGGTTCTGTTAACCTGCGGAAAACACTGCGTTGGCTATTATTCGAAAGGTCCAATAAAGAAAGCATATGAGTAGCCGCTGTAGGTAGCGAGGCTGTGCGTCTGCAACTCACTACCTCTAACAACTGTGGTTCGTTAACATTTGGTGACACTGACAACTACGGCGCGAAATTTACTGTAAAAAATCCTATGAAAGGAGCTGAATGTGATTGCACCAGTGCATTCACCTACAAGATTTTAGCATTGTTGTCTGTTGTCCCTTAGACTATTCCCCTGCCTACAGCCTTTTTTTCTAATTTCCTCTTTTGACCACATGGCTTGTCATGAAGTTTCATTGAAAAAAAAAATCCTTACAAACATTCGCATGTTTGCATGAGTGGTCTGCAAAAGTTGTCTGTAATCATTGCTCGACTGCATATATAGTCTCGCCTTTCAGGCTTCTTCAGTTTCTATGCCTTGTTCATCCAAGTCTTTCTGTGACTCAAACTTATATATCACAGTTTCTGCTCGTTAGTTTCAACCTGCCATCTCCACTTATTGCCATGATGAACATAATCAGGAAATCCGACCTCGTAACTTCTAAACCTATGAGTGCCTAAACGCAGTGTAAAATTTAAATTGGTTATGCTCATGTATATGTGGTCGTAAAAGCGCCCAAAAGTGATTAATATCACAAATGTGAACCTGTTATAACACCAATAGTGAAGACTAACAGAGAAAACGTCAATGAAAGTATAAGGTATGCCATTAGAAGTAATTGTAAATGTAAAGAAAGAAAAGTAGACGAAAAAATTGCTTTCCACCGGCAGGAACTGAACGTGCGACTGGTCTCACGTTCCTGCAGTTGTTTTTCTGCCCACTTTTTTTATTCACATTTGCGATTACTTCTAATGACATCCTATATACTTTTCTTGACCTCTTCGATAAATCTCATCAATATTGCGCCTAACAAAGAAAACAAGCGCTTAATTTTTTGCTTCTGGTTATAATATATTTCTCATAAGGATCACCAATGCTCAAAGACAAGTGTGGTACAAAACGTCGCACATGGTCGTGTATGAAAGGAAATGCGCGAGTGCACTCCACAAAAAAAAAAAACTGAAAGTTTGAACAGAACTAGAAGCACCCGCTTAAATAGATATTACAAAGCTCGCCTACCCCGAGCAGTGTATATATGTACAAATCACTTGCAGTAGGATGAAACAATGTAGGCGCATCATAAAAAGCAAACCGGTTAAAATCGCCGTAAGATACATTTCACACCGGCCCCGAGGAAATAAAACTGAAGGTGTGAATCGCGATCAAGTAAATTTCACGCGCGTCATCCTCCCCGGTATCGGAAATATGTAACTTGTGCTGTCCGTGTATTCATACTCATGGTACAGCCCGGCGAAGTGCGAAACACTGGGTGTCTGAATCTTATGGTTACTACTAGCAAAAAGTTGGTATGTGCGTGAGAGACAACATCTTACTGTACTATTGCAGTTAATTTTTAAGAGCACACATACGCAATTTGTTCACAAGGGCTACTGAGGCATACCATCATGTATTTTAACTATTGAAAAAAAAAGCGAACAATACTGCATTGACCATTAAGAAGTATGGCTCTTGACACACCGTTATCTAAAGATTCCTTTAACACTAAAATGTTTATGCCGGGGCTCACCAAGACTTCAGTGACGTACTTCCATCACAAAAATGTCGAAAAATACACATGATCATAAGATGAAGAAAAGTTTTGCCAACGGGAGTCAAACCAACGACCTCTCGGTCGACGACGACAGTTGCCGGGCACACTATTCACTGCACCATGGTCTCATTTTGTAGGCTTTGAAAACATCTTTTGTCTACCACTGCCCTCTCATAGTGCTCTTGGTAAAGTGTTGCCAATGCATCATGGCCCTGACATCCAGGATTAGTTCATCCAACACGTCGTTTCTATACGCATTTGTCCGATTCGGCACGTTTCTAATAGGAGAAGTGTAATTTAGTCAATTTCTTTACAAACTGCCAGGTGGCAACCTTACCCAAAGCGTTGGTGTGGCACATAGCCTTCATCCACACAAAAATCGCGCTCTGCAACGCACCGAGCAACATGCCTGCTCGGTCTGGATGTAACTCCGCTTTTTTCATTAATTCTCGCCCCACAGAAAATCCTGCCGGCCAACAGAAGAGAACGCGCGTTGCGTTTCCCTCTAATCGGGTACTGGCGTTGAATAGCTCTAACATGCCAGGAGTAGACGACCTTAGCCGAAGTTTAGCGTGCCATTAGTCACGCTCTTCTGGATCTAACGCTGCTTTCCTTGGTTCCTGTTTCACTGTTTGCCAATGCTACCACATGCATCGATGACCACAAGGGCATGTTCAACAGTTAATCATACATCATGGACGTTAGTCGTAGGCATCAAGATGTGTCACTAAGCATCAACGTGAATGCATTTACGTTAGATAGGGCTTTAGCTATGAAACACCAACCACTATTATAAAGCCCCTTTTATATCAATGCACAGTAAACAATAAAGTACGCCTGCAAGAACGTGTTTCACTGTCGTATTCTTAGGATGGAGGGATAAACCTTTTTTGAAGGAACGAATTCATAGTACGAGCCATACCTCCTTGTACTTATTCCTCAGCCTGCTTAGGTCTTCCTCGGTGATGTCCTTGCGGCCATTGATATTGGCGATCTTCCTGATGGCTTCATCGGCCTCTTTGTACTTTCCGACGGTCAAAAGCCATTTTGGCGACTCCACTATGTAGCTGATATTTGGAGAAAAGAAGGGGAGGTTCAGACTTATGAAAGTACTTAGTACAGCTCATCATATGCTGTTGCAAAAAACACATGGTTGATGGAATTAATCAGCTGGTGTATTCTCCATATAAACAATTAACTTGTGTACGGGAAGTTGGCGAATCACAGTGACGGTAAATAAGCTTTGCACCCATAATAAAGGGTAGTGATGTCGGCGTGATACGAAAGTTTTAAAATCAGTTATTTTCCACATCAGCACGTACTATGAAGCCGCGCCAACTTAAGTTCATACATTGGTAAAATGTGAACAGTCCTGCTAATTGGAAATACGCAATTACTCGCAATGTCAGTCTTCATTTTTTATTTTTATTTTTATTTTGAATACCCTCAAGGCAATTGCATTGAAGAGGGGAGTGGGTGAATACATTACAAGTCAGGAAACTGCAGTACAAACAGCAGAACAGAAGTAGCTATAACCTCTGCAAAACAAGTTATATGGTTCAGAAAAGTCGCATTATTCCTGTTGCGACGAAAAAAATGCGGCTGAGGTTAGCATAGGTGACAACTTTTGGCATTCACCAAAAAAATATATATACATACATTGGACAAGTGAATTTCACAGATATCAATGCAACGTTATACAGAATCAAATGGCCTAAAGCTTAATATTGGACACAGTGGTACGAAACATATCAGGGTTGCAAATTGTAGCAATGTTAGAAGGAAGGTGGTTCCAGTCGTTAGCGGTATGGGGAAAGAAGGAATGGAAAAAGGCCCTAGTGTTGCAAGAAGGAACGCCAACTTTATGAACATGATCTAAACGCGAGGATATGTATGAAGGTGGAGTAAGTGAAGCATGGCGAAGCATATTGTGTGAGAATATTTTATGGAATAAGAACAACCGTGAAATCTTGTTACGTGACGTCAGAGATGTTAGACCCAAGTTACTTTTCATTCCGGATACGCTGGCTGCTCGCTGATAGTTAGAAAAAAATGAAACGTGCGGCGTTGTTTGAATCATTTCGAGTTGATGACTAAGAATTTCAGTACATGGATCCCATATCGGGGATGCATAGTCGAGTTGTGAACGTACAAGAGATTTGAAAAGAGATTTGATTGTTCTAATGTTGATTATTCACCTTACATTAAGTAAGCTTGTTTTACCGTAACTTGTTTCCCTTTCTGGACAACTTACGAAATTGACTCTAGACTACTCACATTCGCTTTGTGTAGAAGTCCTCGGAGCGGCCGCCCTTCAGCCAAAGCCAATTCAACACCCATAAAACAACAACCATGACAGATCTGCAACATGTCATTTTCTTCCAGGAGCCAATTTACTGTCAAATTTTTCTTCCATTGTATTGCAAGTGGAGCAGACACAGCAAGAGCGAGTGAGAACAAGAAAAATGTTCAATTTCAGGAACTATTGCCTCAGCTGACTGAAGCTTGTCGCAAGTATATGCATAGATTAGAACGACCTTGACCGACTTAGTATACCCTAATATGCCCGATTTCCGGAGAGAACGACATCAGAACGATTCTTCGGTCAAGAAAGCTGTTAAAGTAAATTATTGACTGTTTAGTAAGTGCTGTGGGTAAAACATTGTGCACATACCAAGCTACTAGGAAAAAAAGAGTTTCGCCGCTAGGGCGAAGCAATGAATGTGACAGCAAAAATGGCAAGTACGCACGAATAAAAACAGGCAGCTTGATACTTGCAGTGTACACTGGACCACGAAGGAAGACGCTCGAACAGAACACACAGGTTTACAAAGGACATGCGTGAACAAACAACTGTCGCAGTTGTTACGCGTTTGTGTGTTAGCAGTGCGCTGGAAGTGTGGACAATATCAAACCGGATGCTCTTGGACATTTCTTTTTTAAACTACGGTGCTTGGAGTGTCATCTGCGTCTCCTGCCACGTGGTGGCGTCTGATGTAAGTTGTGCCCGGTATTTTTTTTTCTTTTTAGGTCCCGAGTATGTACAGAAAGGGGCCACTTTTTTGTGGACGTCTGAAAAAAAGTTTTCAAAATTAAAGAAAATCTGCGAGCGCTACGTGAAACATGGCCAAGCTCGTTCAAGAACTGGGCACCACCAGCGCTAATAGATGTATATAAATAGCTTACCTTCATAGGTGCGTGAATGGCACGTGTTTGAGTTTCTAATGCAGCGCACTGCGGAGTGAGAGGTCGCTGGTCCGAATTATAGGGCGTGTGCTTCAGAATTTTAAGGCAAAAACCTTTAATGAATTATACTCGCGGTGTCGGCAAGTCCGTCCATCCATGCACTCGAATGGTGCCGGCTGTGTCCTTTCCCCGTACTGTCCCAACTGTACCATGATGTCCAGGATATGTACATGTATATACATATCCGGGAAATGACGGCAACGGCTAAAATCCACCGAAAGTGTCCATGTCGCCAAGCACGTTTGTCGTTTCAAACTTTTTGTATATGGTTTACGCCCACAAATACTGTCAGCAATGTTCGGCGCAGATCGCGCCTCTGTGTTCGAGCTAATTATAATAGCTGGACTTTTACCTTCACAAACCACGATATGACTAAGGCTGAGTTGATTGATATGTGGGGTTTAACTTCCCGAAACCAACACATGATTATGAGAGACTCCGTAGGGGAGTGCTCCAGAAATTTCGACCTCCTGGGGTTCTTTAACGTGCACCAAAATCCGAGCACACGGGCCTACAACATTTCCGCCTCCATCGGAAATGCAGCAGCCACAGCCGGGACTTGATCTCGCGACCTTCGGGTTCGCAACAGAACACCATAGCCACTGATCCCCAATGGTGGTCCTCTGAGTTCGAGAAGCTTAACGGTTGTAGTAGATCATCTTAAGACAGTGCACAAGCCCCGCGCTGTGGTGGTCTTAGCGAAACGCAAAAGAGGGCGAAAGAAGCGGTAGAAGAAAGGAATGGGCGAGAGTGATTCTCTCTGGGAGTGGAGACAAGGGGACAATGCGTTCTCCCCATTTGGCGCTTGAGGCCAGGTGACTTAGGTGAGTAGAGCTTCAGAGACATGACAACGATAAGGTGAATGATGTGCGGCACTGAACGTTAGCTGGCAAACAGTTGCACAAGGCCCCACAAAGATGACCTCGTGGTCATCGAATGAACCCTGCAGTTCTCGTTTTCAGGTGTCTTGAAACCACGCGTGCTCATTTGGCGTATACTGAACGTAGTTTTATTCTCTATAAAAAACACAAGCCCCACTTCGTGCAATATTAAAATATCTTGCCATCGTTGAATGCCACACGGAGAGGCTGAAACCAAGACCCACATCGTGAAAGCAAGAAAGACGCCGGTCATGAAAGCAGGTGCATCACCGTCACGGTACATATCGGGACACTTTGGCCAGTCTATACTTTACCGTCGGCATAAAGCTACTTTCCCCGCCGCGGTGGTCTAGTGGTAAGGTACTCGGCTGCTGACCCGCCGGTCGCGGTTTCGAATCCTGACAGCGGCGGCTGCATTTGCGGTGGAGACGAAAATGCTGTATGCCCGTGTGCTCAGATTTGGATGCACGTGAAAGAACCCGAGGTGGTAGAATTACTGGAACTCTACTGCAGCGTCTCTCAATCATATAGTGGTTTTGGGACGTTAAACCCCACATGTCAATCAATCAAGATTGCGCGCAAGACGCGAACAATCAAGCTTATTGCAGATCATGCGTGGCCACCAGTGATAAGGCTGAAAAGTTCGACGTGGGATGTATAAAAGATGACGCATCCCAACAATGATCAGTTTACTGATGACCGATGCGCTGTGCGCAGATATGAGGGTACAGCATGTATTACTTGCTGACATTTTGGTTTCTGTTTGACAGTGACAAGTTCAGCCAAATAGAGAGTTTCACCTTAAAGACGACGACTGCTGAATTTATCCCTGTCACGACCACGTGCCGTGCAATTGTTATCAAAGTAAAAACTGATTGATATGTGGAGTGTAACGTCCCAAAACCACGATATGACTATGAGAGACGCCGTAGTGGAGGGCTCCGGAAATTTAGACCACCTGGGGTTCGTTAACGTGCACCCAAATCTGAGCACATGGGCATCAAAGTAAAAACTCGCGTGAAGCAAAACAGCACGTGCTTCATGCCCGAGAAGTGATCTGGGAGCAGTAACGCCACAGTAGGACACCCAAGTTTCGACGTTCTTCACTGCCGAGACGTTTCGCATATAAGAAAAGGCTTAAAATATTTCATACTTAATCTCACTATTTGGTGAAAGTCACTGATTTGCTTTGAAAAATGCCATGAAGATGTTACTTGCTTCCTGTTACTGACTGAGTTCATTGCTAGGTCTTTTCTGTTAGACGCATCGTTTTGGTTCAGTGCTGTATTCATGTAAGAATAGAAGTTTTAGAAGTTTTAGCGAGTTGGTACCCGCTCATGTTGGTTGATACAGCACCCACGAGAGTAATACAATGAAAAAAAAAGCCGCAGATAGGCGCTGACTCGGAACTAAAATTGATTTGGGAAACCATAGCTTTCGGGAACACGAACGCTCATTATCAGAGACAACAAAAGTACTCTCTTGCCGCTCATAGTCACGAAAGTGGCTGCGCACCCTTCTTTAAAGACACAGTTATACTGGCCCATCATAAAAATCAGGTAGCAAGGAAAGTGATTAAAGCCTTCCACATTCGAAGAAAAAATTTTGCTGAGCGATGCAGAATTTATCTTTCCAGCAACTGCAGAAGATGGTACCAATGCATATAAGTTTTTCCGCTTTTTTCTCTTGTTTGTGGCGTGTTTTGATGTATTGCTGTTTTTTGTATTTTCTGTTAAGTTGCACTTCACCTATATCTCAGCTGTTTTTTTTCCGAATAAGTTTTAGTGTGTCGGCGCTTGTCTCTGTTCGTCGTCTCGTGTGCTGTATACATGGATCAAGATTCTGCATGTATAATAGCGTCTTATATTTTTTGCAGTGTCAGGGCCACATTGTGCTTTTAAGCATTTGTTATCACAAGCTGTATTACCATATACTGAATTCTCGTTTCTAAGAAATTTCGTTATTTTTGTTGGTTTACAGGTGATAAGTTTATGTTTCATTTTTATTTTGCACAAATGTTACGCACGCCCTTGAGTTCTCTGTGGCCTCAATGTAGGAGCAATGTTTGGGTGGCAAGGCCTTAGTCAGGGAGTAAATGTTCTGCCTTTAGCCTTGCCATCCAAGACTCACTTGGTGTCTTAAAGAAAGAATGAAAATGTCAGCGGCAAAATGTAAACTTGGAACTTGCTCTTGTGTGCACGCAATCACAGGCTGCTGCTTTTGCTGAATTGTGGCAATGGTTAAGACCAATGATATCTTTTTTACAGCGAAGCTGTTAGCTTTTTTTTGCTGTGCCTTTAGTTGTCGACAAAAAACTATCACCATCATGAACCGGCATGCACTTTCCGTCATCTGTTCTACTCCCTTGTTCGTGTCCGACGTATACAGGATGCAATAACTCTAATGGGAGTAAGGACGAGAACAGACAACGTAACAGCAAGGAATAGGAGATAAATTTTTTGCGAGATGTTTTTTTCAGGCGAGCGAGGATTCAAACCAGTGATCCCAAGGGGATCGTTGTAACGCTGCTTAACATTCACGCTAGCAGAGCATATCCTTGTAGAGTATAGTACTAGAGGCCACGAAAGGGAAGCGATGGTGAGGGAAAAACGCAGAAGAGATAAGTGTGGCATAGAAAGAAAGATTGAAACAGCGAGAAAAAGGAATGCATAAGGAGAGAAAAAGAAAATAAAAGGCCACCCAGCTCCGAACTTCTTTCAGGCTTGGTAGCACTGATCCGAAGATGCCCTGATTTTTAAATGGTACATAGACGCTTGAATCTAGCTATCGTTGGGACCCGAACCCGAGCTCAGAGATGGACTGTCTCGAATGGAAAGATCAGTGAAATGTGACTTTGCTTTTAGTGGAAAGCTTGGTCATTGACAGAGAACGATATATTTTAAATGAAATACGAGTTTATATCCTCACGATCACGCCATAAATGAAAAAAAAACATTTGTGATGAGATGAACTTTCAATGCTTATTTCCTTTTTTTCCTCGTCATCGAGTGGCGTGATTGCAACCTGCATTATACGCTGCATTCTAATACCAGCATAGGCTGCAGACTTAAGTCAAGACTTCGAATGCCCCTAGGTGACTTTTAGCTTTTTATAGTCGCGGATCTTCAAACATCTGATATGTGGCAAGAAAAAACAGGCTAACGCAAAGTCACGTGCCAATAGACTTGTGCCATGTCTGCGTGGTTTATATGCAAGCTTGCTCTGCCTACAATCTGCGACAAGTAGAAACTTAAAAGCTCGAAGTACTTGCACATAAAAGTCGATGAAGGGTTCGTGTCATTTTCACAAGTCTGGGACGTATTGTATCGTTGACTACTAGCAAGGAAGGAAGAAAAGAGAAAAGGCAGGGAGATTAACCAGGCACACTCTTGAATGGCTACACTGTGCCGGCGAAATGGGAAAGGAGATTGTAAAGATGAGAACGTGAAGGTAAGAAGGAAATTATCAGTAATCATGCGATCATGGACATAGCGATGACACTATACTAGAGTCAAAGATTTTCAGATAGGCCCGTACTCCCAAAAAGGCATAAAAGTGCTTCAACTTCCTGGTCATCAGACGAGAGAAAGACTGTGCTCCAGAAACATCTGCACGGAGAGCAGCCGATCTTTCAACCATCGTAACGCCTCGATGTTACATGTGAGAGTCCCATGTGTTGCGTATAGAAGAGTCGAATGACATCTTTTTTTATGTGAAATGGCAAGTATGTGGTTGGCTCACCCAATCCCTTTGAATTAGGTTAGATCACAGAAACATTACCGCAGTGCGTGCGAACTGTGTGATGAGCAGGTCTTTATTCCTCCTTCTTGAAGCTATTGTTTCCGTTTGTGCTCTTCAGTCATCAATCACTCCGCAGCTAATAAAAGCAGTGCATAGCTTATTGTGATTTTTCTACGGGTTTAGTACACAGCGCACGGTTCGTGAGTGATTAGTACTCAATTTTTTAAGTAGCACTCCAGTTATGAATGCCTTATTTTTACACACTGCTGGATGAAGGCCACAAAAATGCCATAACTAAAGAACTAAAGATCGTGAAAACGGAAACGACACGTTTAAGTGACGTAAGACCAGTCTACGTATTTTTTTAAATCATAGAGCTCAATGAGCTAAAAAGTAATAGGGCCGAAACAGTCATTGTGTGATTCAATTTGTGATCACGCTCATGAGATTGATTAAAGTGGGGCGTAGTATTTTTTTATATTCGAAAACTGTTGACAGGAGGTGAGGTATTCGACTTTATGCTGCTGGTTTTCAACAAAACCCATATAGCTACAAATACTGAGCTTCATTTAATGTTGCAACTTATAAATTGAGATACGTGATTGTGAAGCTGAAGCGATACTATGTCGCCTGCGCATGAAGGTACATTAGCAGCTCACCTCCAAAGCACCAGTGGAAAAAAGTACAGGGTGGCGAAGATGACGAGCTGGGTCTGCCATTTCGGCAATATAAGAACAAGGCCAGCCAGCGCCATGATTCCCACGCCCCAGAAGACGCCGTACGCCACCATGGATAGTGCTCGGTGGTTTGGGCCAACACTTTCAACATCTGTGACAAAAAAAAGAAAAAAAAAGAAAACAGGCACACGGTTCCTCACTACCACAACACAAGGTATAGGCTAACCATCTCGTTCTCGTAACGCTCAATGACCAAAGTAAAGATTGCTGCCTCAATAACTAGTGCGTCATTAGCTGAAACACGAGCTTAATAAATATGTAGAGTGCCCAAATGACCTTGAAACCCACGTCAGAGGAAAGAAAGTGTTTGTAATGCGAGATATAAGTGTAACTGTTGTCATAAGCAAGCCAACAGGTAACCGAAGCAATGACTGTAAAACGGAAGTAATGCTTAAGGCGATGTGGATAAGTTTTTATGGAGATTCGTCAGGGCTTCAACACGCTCAGTAAATTATCGAAGCGCAATTACCAGTGCGTTGACGCTCGCAATCTGCTGCCACTTGTCTGCACCACGCTGTGACCATACTCGGTGAAGCTGTGACTCACTTTAGGGGACGCTATAGCTCAAGACGGACCAGTCTTTCAATACACGGTACATGCAGAAATCATCTTAAGAGACAATCACTTGACAAAACAGAAAGAAATTCGTCGCATTAAAAATTGTTGCCACTAAACGGTGCTGCTAAATAGCGCAAACTTCACGGGCGAGAGTAAATATTGTGACACACAAGCGCTGAGCTTCCAACTAAGTTTTTATTTTAAAGGTACCTAAAATATACAAATAACCACGCGCATGCGCCTCTTGGTTTTTGTGTCTGAATGGCGTTTGATGTTTGAATGACGTTTGTATGCCTTTAACGGGTTTTTTAGCTTTATCTCAACTTTTGTTGGTCTAAGCAAGTGTTCTTGCAAAAAGAGGGAGCGTACGTTGGTTCGTGTATCGCCCCCACTCTGAGTGATTTGTTCTTGGCCGGTATCGATAGGAATATTTCAGATAAAATTGAAAACGTACGGGTGTTAATCCTGTTTTGTCTATTACTACCTTATACTGTATGAACCAAGTGATGTTAGCTTTGATACAAATGTTTGCTGCATTTTATCTATTGTTTCAAAAGGTTTACAACTTATAACCCACGAGTTGCCACGAAATTGAAATCAAGTTACCAGATTTGAAGATTAAGCTTTCAGACAAAGTTTGCTGGATGCACGAACCTAGGATCTTGAAGCCGCTCCTACCGTACCAATCCGTGCACAAAAAATTAGAAGGGATAGCGTAGAACCATGTCTTCGAAGCACGTTGAAGAAATTGTGCCTGTCTCTGATCGAAGAAAATTTTCGCGTTCAAAGTAAGAAGCCTAATTCCACTGGATACCCGCAAGAAGTAATTTCAGCGGTGGCAGAAGTCTTGCTTCTCAAGGTAAGGAAAGTGAGAGCTGTCTGTGGACCAGAGCTACGAGAAACCACAACTGGAACTTCGCATATTCGAAACAAAATGTACCGAAATTCCTGATAAACACCAAGTCTCCCATAATTTAAAGTTCAGACAAAATGCAAATGCCGAGGTTGTGTCAGCCCCTAACAAATTACTAAGTTTTTACAAAATTACATGCCCAACAGAAAAGGAAAAACGAACGTCTTCTACGAAGCATCGTGTGAGCTTTGCAGATTGTAAAACATCAGTTGTTTATTCGTTTCCTTCAACATGTGGCAGCAGATATGTGGACAGACCAAGCGCCGCTTAAATTATCGTTCCAGAGCATACGTGAATGTCCGGGTAGATCTGCAGGGACACGTGGCGACGCACTGCCGAAGCTGTGGTTGTACGTCTGAATTTGGCAAACGCGCAGTGCTCTTCACTCATTCCAAGCAAAAGAAAAAAAAACGCGATAAATAGTAGAAGCTCCAGAGATGACCAAGAATGATAGCCATTGTATCAGCATACCTTCCATTGCGCTGTCAAAAAATAATGTTTTTTACTGCCTTATAGTGTCTTGTGATTTAATAACTTGTTTGCATTATTCTAGATAACTTGTTGAGCTGAAGCTTATTTTTGGGTGTCATGTTTTTGTGGATGTGAAGCAGCTCAGGCGCGCGGATACCTATAGAAAAAAAATTCGTGTGTTTCTCTAATAAAAATGTAGCTGGAAGTTCAGCGCCTGTGTGTCACTTTCTATTGTCTCTCGTTCCTGAAGCTTGCGTTTTTTAGAAATTCAGAGGAGCTCCAACTAGCCCAAGTAAGCACCTTGCCAAGGCTATTTTGTCATGCTATTACGAATCAAACACAATCTCTGTTCACAGGAGCACTGGACGTCGAGACGAACCTGTCACCAGAAACGCGAGCTCATCAAGTAGTCGTCTTTGTACTCTCTTGTTTGTCACCAAGGCACATTCACATAGCGGCATAGCCCAATCTCGTTCAATGCCCGAACATTACCCCCCCCCCTTCCAAAAGATATACCGTACCGATGCTTAATGCTGATTAGAACCCAAAGTAATCGTGCACACGCACAGACACGCATGATACAGCAGTGTGAAGTTGTTCGGAGGTAATGCGGTTTCATTCTCGATACGCGAGCAATGTCCACCTGCTGGGAATGACGAGATTACCAAGGTGTGTCTCCAGACAGAACTTCGTCGTTGACGTCATTGAGACGCCATAGTGTTCTATAGGGACTGAAGTAGCAATTAAGTAACTTTTCCGAGTGACCCTTTCAATGAATGGTAATCCACAGCCACGCAAGATGACCGGGTAGGTAAATAACATGACGTTAACGAGAACTGTACCTCTGCGTGTCGATGCGCTATTTTTAGATCCGCTCGAGTGCAAGCTTGCGGGTCGGGTCCGCGAGTCAGATAAAGTCGTTCGCATCAGCAGTAATGTCGTTCATATCAGGTAAGTACATGTGCTTCTCGGCCGTGAAGTAACGGAAAGGGGTGAACCCTGTAGTCCCTTGAAGCACACCGTAGTAGGTGAACGTAACGTAGAACCCAAAGTAATCGTGCACACGCACAGACACGCATGATACAGCAGTGTGAAGTTGTTCGGAGGTAATGCGGTTTCATTCTCGATACGCGAGCAATGTCCACCTGCTGGGAATGACGAGACGAAATGACCTTGAACGCGCGAATACCCGCGGTGGACTCGAGCTGTGGCCTTCAAGATATTTCGTAAGTTTTCTAAGCTCTGAATCGTTTCACTGAAGTTGGGCCACATCAGATTCACCGACCGCGTGAAGAAAACTGCCATCAGTATCATCATCTCTTGATGTCGTTGCAAGTGCAGCGCACGATAGGCAATCAGCATCAGTGTGCCCGCGGCCATGGCTTGTAGATGACTGTTACGTGGAATTCTTCAAGGTGCAAGCTCCATCTCGCGAGGCGCCTTGAGGGGTCCTTGAGATTGGCGAGCCAACATAGAGCATGATGGTCTGTAATGACTCTGAACAGACAGCCTTAGAGATAGGATCGCAACTTTGATATCGCCCAAATAACAGCAAGGCATTCTCCGTGGTCGAGTAGTCAGCTTCCGCAGATGACAGCATGCGACTGGCATAAGCGATGGCACTCTCGACACCGTCTTCCTACGGGACGAGCGCTGCACAAAGACCGACGTTGCTTGCGCCAGTGTGCAGTTCGGTGGCGGCATCTTCATCAAAGTACCTTAGTAAGGGCTCAGTTTGCAGGGGCAGTTAAAGCACGGAAAAAGCGGCTCTTTGGTTGGGACCCCATACAAACGGTGCATCCTCTTTGTTAGGTGGATAAGGGGATCGGTGACGTTCACGAAGTTCTGCACAAAACGCCGGTAATATGTGCACAGACCCACAAATCGTCGCACATCCCGTTTGTTAGAAGGCGGGGAAATGCAGCAACAGCCATTGTTTTTATTGGTCTTGCCGAATGCCATCGTGACTGCCAAAGTTGCTGAGGAATTTTAGTGATTTGTAGCCGAAATGCCACTTCAGTTTTAGTGATAGACCTGTGGATTGAATAGCGAGAAAGAGCAGACTTAAGTCGCTGTAAATGTTGCCCAAATGCTTGCGAAAAAAAGACATCGTCTAAATAGACGAGGCACAATTCTTACTTCAGTCATGATAGCACGATGTCCATCATCCTTTGGAACGTCCTCGGTGAAGACTACAATACGAACGGCAGCACTTTAAATTCGTAGAGGCCAACGGGTGTTATGAACGCTGTTCTTTCTCTATCACGATCATCGACCTAGATCTGCCAAAACCACTTCGCAAATCTATTGAAAAATACAGGGCATGAAGCGGATTCAGTGAGCCGTCTATGCGTGAGAGAGGGTAGAAGTTTTTGTTTGTAACTTTGTTAAGTTTACGGTAATCCACACAAAATCGAAGAGTGCCGTCTTTCTTTTTAACAACTACGACGGGCGATGACCATGGACTGTTCTGGGGTTGTATTAAGTCATCGTCGAGCATCTTCTGCACCCGAGAACGTACCACCTCTTGTTCGTTTTGCGACACTCGGTATGCGTGCCTAACACAAGGTAGCCAGCAGGTCTAAGAACTGGCTAACCTCCCTGTCCTTCCGCTAATTTCTTTCCTTCCTCGGTATGCGCGATGTCGTTCTGGTCGTTCGGTATAAGGTCTGTTATAATGTGGTGCTGCGTGGTTGGCGTCTGCTTGAATTCTTAAGTGGAGAACAAACAGTCACTAAACGTCCGTAAAATCTGCTCCTTCTGTGCATAGAGCAGCTGGCGATTCACATCAACTGCGCTGGCCAATGCAGTTTCACATTTGGCGGCAGTGGTAATCGGGCTCATAGTAGAACATCTTTCGTCACCAATGGCTTCGAAGTCCGCGATATTTGTTCGCTTTGCCAAGTGTTGGTACTTGCTGCTCAAATTTGGGATCAAAAGCTGAGCCCCCGATGTTGCAGCAGTTTCAGTTGGACTATACCGCGCGCGACGCATTTTTGCAGAGCTAAGAGCACCGATAGGTTAGCTTCGGCGGTACCGCTGCTGTCATCAAAGTAGCTCTGCACAGTTAACAACTACTGGCTCGTGGTGGAAGTTCGATGGTGCCGTTGACAATTCGAAGTGCTGTGGTCTGTGCAGTGGAGTCTCCTTGTCTGGTCGTATGGTCATCAGAAAACGTTCAAGCAGGTCGCGAAGGTAAAGAACGACTATATGCTCGCGGAGGAAATCCATCCCGAGAATCAGTTTTTGGGAACATTCGCACAACACGACGAATGAAGCAATGTGTGTTTACTTACGAATTTGGAGCCGTGTGGTGAATTTTAACAGCGGTGTCAATAGGCGACCTGCTGCAGTCTGGAGGTTGGGTCAATGTCCCCAAGGTGTCGTTACCTTACGCAATTGAGCAATGAGGTCAGTGCTCATCAAAGTAAATACATATGGTGGACACGGCAAACCCTAGTCTCGTTCAATGTTCATGGCAATATGGAGTGAAGTTTTGATTTCCAACGTGAATTATTTTGCGCAAATGACAGAAAAATAGATAGTCCGAACACTTAAAGCCTCAACTTTACAAGCTGGTTATGTTCTACCAATAATATGAATCGTAATTACGGGAATGATGCCTACTTGAGCGTCCGAAGCTCAAAGCGGAAATGACTTATGAACTCATATTCTATATGAAACTGTCGAATTAGCTGAAAAGTTTTGCTATGAAGTATTACTCGCAATTTCTAACATCTTGACTTCGGTTCCCACTACCGCCTAGTTGTTTCTCATGTACTGTAATTTTGCCAAGTAATATATATTCCCAACTACAAATAAAGGCATCTAAAGTTCCAAATGGCTTCGTTATCTGTGGTGCTCTTCAAGTCCTACTTTTTGTCACTGAAGAATGGGATACATAAATCGTGTAGCTATCACGTGTTTCTTTTAATCAGAAGTAATTTTCGTAAAAGCGGTTTCTGAAAACAGTATACGCAAATATCTCGGTATGCACATTGATCTATTGATTACGGAAGCTCAATAACACGTGAAACTTCGCGGGAAAAATGGAAGGTTTATTAGCGGCGCTGACTAACCTTGCCATAAATATATAACCCATAATAATAACACATATATACTCCATAAACTAAAGAAGAAGGGCACGGCCACTGCTTTAGCTCAGTTGTTCGAGCATCGGATGTGTTATTCGAAAGTCGCATGTTTGGTCCCTGCCAGTGGCAAGCTATCTTTTCGTCCGCTTTTCTTTCTGAACAATTACCTAAAATTATATGGTAATAACATCCTCTATACTTTTGTTGGCATCATTGTTAGTTATTACCTGGTAATTCTGTCATTTAAAAAAAAACTAGGCATTTATTCTCTAATCTTGACCGCATTGACGCCAGGAAGCTGGCGAAAGAACATCCTCTGAGTGGTATACAAAAATGATAGACGAAGAGTACTGCATACTTGTGTTGCACGTCAATATGTGTAATTTTCACTTGGAGACCAGACGGCAAACATTGAATTGGTGAGTTGGTGCCCTAGTCGTTGCTTACTGGTAGACGCACTTACAGAGCGTCATGCTGTTGTTCGCCGCGGCTACAGCAATGGCAATGAAGAAGCGCAGCACGCAGAATAACCAGAGAGCGGAGGTCAAGGCCAGGAGGTAACCTAGTATTATGTAGCTCAGAATGCCACCAAGCATAACTGGCCGCCGGCCGTACCTGCAAGAAGAGAAAAAAAAATGACATGGTATATTGTGCATCAATAAGTGTCAGAGCAGCTCAGAAGACGTGCTTCTTAGATACTTGAAAACTGACTGCCGCATAAGAAACGTACGAAATTCTCACGCTGAAGTCTATGCTCAGCGACTGTGCTATCAATAGGGTGCTCCAATGCAAGTTTTTCCCGTTCAGGGAGTGCACCCCAACGGCTGCTGGTATATTGGGTCAATCACGCAAGGCTGCCTCACACGTTCAGATTAACGTTTTTACTGTGTACACCAAGGGAAAAAATAATTATACAAAGAAAAAGAGATAAAAAAGAATAAAGAAAAGATGGAAGAGTTCATGACTACTGACAGAGAGGGAGAAAACATAAAGAGGAAACAAAAAGTAGAAATGGAAGAGAGAAGAAGACAAGGAAAGATGGAGAGATACAAAAGCAGGCACAAGGAAAATAGAAAAAAGTGAATATAGGAAGTAATGCCACGTAAATGAATCGTACAGCGAAGCGTGTGAAAGAAGTGAAAGGATAAATACTATAGCCAACCTAGGAACATCTAGGTGCCCATCCAGCAGAGCTTTGCGCGGCTTGGTGCAAGTTAATTGTTTTGTGTACGGCCAACATTCCCTTTTTCGATTAACGTTTAGGCAAGTACTTCAGCGTGAATTAAAGCTGAGTTCTTCACTTACGAATGGCAAGTATATTAATATTACCATCTGGAGCTTTACGTCCCAAAACGTCGGTATGATTATGAGAGATGCCACAAATGAGAAGGTCACAACAATGTATTTTTTAAAAGCGAATTATACCTTTAGAAAACATTATTGCGTGGCGGTGCGAATATTTAAACCGACTTCGTAAAACTTGAGCATAAAGAATGGTAGAGACAGAACAAATACCCCGGGAACACAATTCTGTCAGCATTTCTGGTACTGAGTTAATGAACTGCGGAACTTTCTTGACCTTACAACACTACCTTCTATCGCAGTCCTAAAAATACAAGCAACTGGCAAAGCAACGAACTGCATTTGTAATACCAATCTAAGATGAAACCTTTTTTTGTTTGCTCTGAAAACTGTATTTCATTTATATTTCTCTATTCTAAGGCCGTGAAGTTCCAGAATTTCTTAAAATACATTACAAATTTCCGCAGGTCTGACACGTTACTTACACACAGCACTAGTCTAATGAACAGATTTAATACTTATGTAGCCTAAGTTTTCTTTACACTTCATGAAAGCTTTCCATGAACTCGAAGGTACACAAAAGTTGCCATCAAATTTGGGGAAGAAAATCTCCCACTGCTTTTTATTTATCTCAACATTGGTAAAACAGCCCACCACTTTCTAGCTTAATGTAACTTAACATTTCGTGAGCCCATCTCACTGTGATCGCAAATGCCTGTAGCATGAGAAAGCACAGATGCACACAACTGGCATCTTCATTATGCAGTCCGGGAGAAATGTAGAACAAACGTGTTTTTTCTAAATATTGGTACTGCGACATCGTTCGCACGCTCCGGTATGACTGACAGTTAAAAGAATCAAATAATAACATTACGTCACGCAAGCAGAGAAGTATTTTTTTGCTTACATGTCCGATAGTGGACCAAGAACGGCAAAAGCTGCTGTTAAGCCGGCCATGTAGCTGCTCTGGGGCAATGCGTTCATCCAGGCAGAACCACACACCAGGTTCCACTGCAAGAATGAAAGGCAATCATCGGGGCTCCATTGATGCAAAAATGAAAGAATACAATGGAGGCCACTCAAAAATGCCATGTACGAAGACCCCTTTATAGTACTTTGGCTACGCTTTGTTTGAGCATCGCAATGTCTTGCCAATTAGTTAAGCAAAAATTTTGCAAACCTCCACGATGAATATGTTGTCACCTATTCTACAACGTGCAGTTATTTCATTTTTTAAAGGACAGTGCAATGTGAAATACATTTTGAAAGCAATTGTGCAGATTGTTGCGTTCCGCAGTGCCGCCCTTCACACAATGAAAACGTTGAAAGAAAAAGCACCTTTCGCACGACCACCGACAATAGTCCGGTCCAGTTTCAATATTTGATGAAAATGAAGTAAAGAGTAAATAGCCCGATTATGCATTTTTCTTGGGACATGAACACGTAGACCTAAATGAATAATAAATTATTAAGTAAATAAATAAATTAACAAAAACACACGTAATACTAATCAAATTTGAACTAAATTGAAATAAGTATTCGACTGTGCGTGCGCACACAGTTTCTTGTTCCGAGATAGCGTTGTGCGTTCACTGAGTTAACGCTGAATATACACAAGTATCCGATCTGTCTAGCAACCATATGAATGATCGAATAAACTACAACAAGCGAAAACTTAGAATACAGATAGCAGTAACAGTAAAACTGTAGCAAAAGGGTATTGAAGTAACGGCTAAAATAACACACCAAGGCATATATATAGCCCTTATAAGACATACAATCGCGCAAACTTCTTTTTCTGAGGTCAAACCGTATTGGAGTCAGAGTTCCTTGGCCGATAAAAGTTCTATTAAGCTAAAATCTCAAAATTTTTTACGGAGCATTGAAAAAAGTGATCTTGAGGGATGATCTAACGCTTGTCATGGTGGTGTTTCGTTGATAATAAGATGTGATACAGCATGCCATGGGGCATGCTGTGTCAGAATACCGGAAGCAGAAAAGGATGAGCCTACAGCTGCATAGGACCCAGAAGTGAGAGACTTGGAGGCATCTAAACAATATAGGGCAAGTGTATTTGTGTTTAAGTTCTAATATGTATGTGTGTATATGTGCGATAGGTGGATTCTTCGTCCCTTCCGCGAAGGATACATCACATTCTATGACCTGCCTAGTATGTGTGTATATGTGCAATTGGTGCATGCTTTATCCCTTCCGCGAAGGATACATCGCATTCTATGACCTGCCAATGCCACGGTGGTAGGTCATACAGCAGGAGCTATGAGACACTGTTCGAAAAGCGGCACACGTGTCATCTCGGCTAGGCCCCTCACGCGAAGCGAGTAAGGCTGTCTCATTGAGGGCAGTTTCCAAAAAGTGCAGAACTAGACCAATCATTAATTATGAAGTGCGTAAGGTGTTTCTTATTCGTCCTTCACTTTGAAAAATAGATAAAAGACATGCATGTAGGACCTCTGCGAGCAGAGTGACCACTCATTCGACTCAGCGTAAAGGCTCTACAGGGCTAATTTGATAGACACCTGTAGAGAGGTGGATGCCCAGATGATGAACAGGTTCCAGAATCTTCAATGCGCTTGGCGAGGCTGAATGATATACTATTGCCCCATAGTCAAGACGTGAACGCACCAGGATTTTGGGCAGATTCATGAGGCACTTTCTGTCGCTGCCCCAGGATGTGTGCGACAGTACCTTCAAGATATTCATTGTTTTCATGCATTCATTTTTAAGGTGTTTGATGTGTAGTACGAATGTTAGATTCGCGTCCAAGGTAATACCTAAGAACTTACGTTCTGTGCTTACGGGCAGACGTTCGCCTTTCATGGCAATTTGAGGATCAGGGCGTAAGCCTCTTTTTCGTGCGAATAGGACAATAGGACACATGTGCTTTTTTTGTGGGTTGACTTTGAACCCATTTCCATCAGCCCATTTGAAAAGTTTGTTTAGAGCAAGCAGGACCTGTCGCTCCCAGATGCCGAGGGAAGACGATTGAAAAGCCATCGGGATGCCGTCAACATATGTGGAGTAAAATATGTTATGGGGGATGTACAGTGCCAATTTTTATTAAAGGGAAGCCGGGAGCGCGTAGCCTGCGCGCTCCGGCGCGCTGCTGGAAGAGCATTCAAGCGGGAGCGAGAGCAACCACAGTTCGCGTCGTCTCGCGGCGAGAAAAACAACCGTTCGTTGCTGATATGGAACCAGAGGCAACTTTGCAACCCCCTTCCATTTCAAAGCGATTTAGCGAGAGCTGGTAATCGCCATAATTTGCAATTTTGCCGTTCTATATCAGCAACGAATAGTTGTTTTGCTCACCGCGAGATGACGCGAAAAGAGACTGGTTGCTCTCGCTCCCGTTCGAACGCGTTGCCGGCGGCCGCCGGAGCGCGCAGGCCACGCGTCACCGTGTTCCCTTTCATGCAAATTGACGCCACAGACGGAGAGAGTTCATTTTTTTTTAAATAAAGAAGGTGCAGCTCAGTACCCCACCAGTTTCCTGGTACTCCAGTTTCCTGTACAGATGTTTGGGACAAGAGATTGCCCTCTAGAATCCGGAATATGCGATCAGACAAGTAACTTTCGATGATATTGAACATATTACCATGTATACCTATTTGCGAGAGGTCTCAATATTCCAAACCTCCACGCCGTATCGTAGGTGTTTCCGTGTTGTGGAATACAGATTAAAAAACTGATTATGGGCAAAAGCTTCACGTATGCGTGCCTCAATCCGTATGAGATTATCGGTGGTGCATCGGCCTTCTCTAAACTCGCACTTGTATGGGTCTAGAAGTTTGATTCTAGGAAGTGGAGTAGGCGGCATTTAATCATTTTTTTCGAAAACTTTACGGATGCAACTGGTTAATGCTATAGACCTGTAATTTGATGCAGTCGAGGGATCCTTATCCTGCTTCAAAATTATTTATCACAGCTTCCTTCAAAGAGAGGATCACACCAAAAAAACCAGCGAAGATTGTAAAGAAAAGAGTTTTTTTGTGTTTCAAAGGGTAGTTGCTTCAGTATTTTGTACCTTATGCAGTCAGGACATGGACGAGATGTGTTGCAACAGTTCAGTGCTCTTTGCAATTCTGCTAAGCAGACTTGGTCGTTGTAAGGCTAGATTTTTTTTAGATTTCTTTTTAGGTTTTGTTGTTCCAAGTGTGTTTTGTATTTTGGAATGCGTCATAGTAGTGTGAGGAGCTGGATATATTTTCAAATAGTGCACCAAAAAATTATATTGGTGTTCCAAGCTTTCCCAAAGGGTATTTACTAATTGGAGAGAATATGTTTGATGGCCTTTAATTTTCTGGATTTTGTTCCACACTTTTCCCTCATCCGTGTAGGAATTGATGCTCATAATGAACCTGGTCCAGCTCTCTCGTCTGGCTTGTCTACGAATCCCCATTGCCTGTGATTTGACCTGCTTAAAATTGTCCAGGTTTTTCGCTGTTGGAAAGTCACAAAGCAACTCCACAGTTGTTTCAATTCATCTGAGCTTTTCTACAGGCATCGTTTCACCATGGAACTCGCCCATTGGAACTCTTTCCGCTAGTTTGAACAATGCACTTAGATGCTGCATCAAGAATAAAAGTTGTGAAATACGCGACAGCGTCATCTATAGTCAGGGCGGAAATCTCAGTCCATGTTATGTGGGTAACAGTTTCATACTGTTCCCAATCAGCTGAGTCGAGCTTCCATCTCGAAACCTGCGGGAATAGTTGGCCTTTGTTCAGAGCCCTCAGAATAATCGGGAAGTGGTCACTTCCATAAGGGTTTTTTAAAACATTTCCTTTAAAATCGGATAAAAGAGACTGTGATGAGATGATAAGATCTATCGAGGAGTGCGAGTTGTTCGCAAGGCTAAAATACGTAGGCTCCTTTGTATTTAAGAGATACAACCTAGAAGAATAAAGAAGCTGTTCAATGAGACATTCTCGGGCATCACTGCGACAATCGCCCCACAGGATATTGTGTGTGTTCAAATCACCTAAAAACAAAAAAGGTTCTGGGAGTTCAATTAACGTTTCCAAGTCGTGTCTGTTAAGCCGATGGAGTGGTGGTATACAGGGCGTCCCACGTAACTTGAGCCAAAGTTTTAAAATATGCCAGAACACGTAATTACAACGCGACCAAATGCATGTTACTGTTGCCTGGAGTAATACTATTTTGTGTTCTCAATTATTGTTTATTTATATTGTGTTTATTTACTGACTTTTCAAAAACAAAGATAGATTAAACATTTCAAGGAGAAAGTTGTAGATCGGTTTGCAAAACGTCTGATTAGACAGTTTCGAACTTTATATCTGTTAAGTATTAGTGTTTTTCTGCTAAGTGCCAATGCCGGCGAAATACAAAAAAATGGCAGCATATCCACGGAGTGAATGATGGAGAGTGGGGCGAAGCATTCATACGTCCATTCGTTCTTGCTTCCGTCCGTCCATGCGTGCGTCTGTGTGGCCGCCCGTGCGTCCATCCACCTGCCCGTGCGTGCGTCTGTTCGTGCGTGAACACGTCCATCTGTGCGTCCGCCCCTGCGTTCGTCCATGCATCCGCTCCTGCGTCCGTCCATGCGTTCATCCGTCTGTGCAGCCATCCATGCGTCCGTCCATGCATCTGTTTGTGTGTCCGTTCGTCCACCTATTCAACCCTCCAAGTACCACCATCTCATATATTTTCATCATATATTCCTCATACAGAAGCACCGCCATCCAGCGGACATTCCAAGGGCTGAACGAGAGAAGGCACACGCACACTTTCTTACGGATTGCGCTTCGTGTCTACTTCCCACCTTTAAAAACCTCGAGTTCATGGTATATACTAGTTCACTGTATTCAGGGCACTGTGGCCCAACACTCGTTAAACCTTTCTAAAACCAAGGAGGTTACGCCAAGCGAGTATAACGTAGCAACCCTTTCTTGTCAGATAGTGCTTAATGTACATGCCAATGGCTACTAAGGGGGAATGAGAGACAGGAGAATTCGGCTTTTAGTTGATGCGCA